CATGTACGGTTCCTCAATTTTTTTTTGTCTAAAGTACATTAAACACTTTATTAGGCTCATTAGGTCACTAAACAGTTCATTGAACAGTTCATTCTAATGAAATGTTTAGCGATACAGTTCATTCTAATGAACTGTTTAGCGATACAGATACATTGGTCACTAAACAGTTCATTCTAATGAACTGTTTAGCGACTTATCGCTTAGTTCAAATAACTAAAGATGTAGAGTCAAGAAAGGTTAACTACCCTTTATTTCGCTCAAAATAAGATGAAGAGTTGGTCTCTTTCTCCGGCTTACAACAAAGCCTCTACTCTAAAATAAGAAACTTAAACTCAGAATAAGAAATAAGAACTGAATTAGAACTAAGAGATTTCTCCAAAGCTAACACAAGTATCTAACGTAATTGGCCCTTAATTTAAACTAGCCGGCGAATATCAAAAGGCACGTAATGTACGGCCGAACGTAACAGCGAGATGTAGCCCGAGGGCAAACACGAGCTTCTCAGGATCCCTAGCTCTCTCTCCCGAAGATCTTTAGCTCTCTCTCCTGAACCCTCTTTAAATGCGTTTTCTAACTCATTTGCATTCAACGCGGTTCTAAAACCTCATTCTGGTAGGGAGTTGTAAGAGAAAACAAGAATTAATAGGAAGCACTTTGAACTTAAAATATTAACTACTCAAAATATATGGGATTCAACGGGAATAGAAAAAGGACCGAAAATTCGGATTTCGAAGTACGAAATTTGGGATTGGAAAGCCTTACACAACCTTAAGCATACAATTTGATTTACATGCTAAAAATGTAAGAAATTCTGTTTAGCACAGAGCTTGCGTTAGCCCAGAAGAGCTATTAGTCTGTTGCGATGTATATGGCCTAGGTGTCAAGAAATTGATGCTTAATAATAAAGTTAAAAAGACAAAAAAATGGGTTAGTAGGAGTAAGTGTTACAGCAGAATGGTACTGCAAGCTAAACGAAAGCGTAAAAAATTAGCATACCCTTTTGCATGACAGTTAACCCTTTGTGGCACAATGTGTCTGTTCTGGACACACCTAAAAATTTCCTTCTGTGCGCACTAAAAAATTGAATGAAAAAGGATTTATAGGTTACTCTGAACCTTCTTTATTTATAGTAGATGACAGCTCAACACAAACCAGGCCATATATTTTAGCCATGTTTAGTTTTTTAAGACCCTGATTTTTCAAAGAAATCTTCCAGATTTTTTAGGGTATAAAATGAATTGTTTGAAAAGAATTGGCAATGTTATTTTTTGGCTGTATGCTAATCTTTTTATTCTATATTAGTTTTAAATCTGTATCTTGAAATCTTACCCAAAATCAAACGGTGTGTGCTCTAGGTGTGCCCAGACAGGGCTCACCGATAATCTAGGACAAATGAGAGTCTGTATTCTTTGTTTCTCCGCATCTCATCGGTCCGTTCATTGACAACAATGCTCGTTTCAGCACTCTTTTCGAAGCTCTATTCAATCAGTGTGCCGGCTTTCGTCACAGCCACAGAATTAAACGATATTTTCATAAAATTTTACTTGTGTACTTCTCTGAGCTTAATTAGACTGCCTACCTTTTTTTTTAATCAAAACTCCGACTTTAAAAGGTAGTGTACCGGAAAGGGTTAAAAACTGAAACCTTTCAGATTTTTTTTATATTTGTTTTCATTAGGCACTTAGTCGTACACAATTAAAAATTTTCCAAAAGTCTCAAATGGATTATTCAATAATTCTTTCAGATATGACTTACATGAATGATAATTCAGAATTTCTCAGAAGCGATGTTAGAGATGACGTAATAATGCGTAACTCAATAAGAGTTTAAAAAGAAAAACTACCTAGAAGAAATCAGGTTAACAATTATTTTTGAATATAAATAAGATCCAATTACAAATTTTCAAATGATATTAAAACTGCACATATAACTATCAATGATTTCTTACTTTTCATTTATAAGTGAAAAATTAGCATCGTATGTAATACAATTCATTCTATTACATTGAGATATTCATTGTATTACTTACATAAGTATGTAATACAATTCATGTAATACAACATACGTACGTATGCAATGTAATTCATAGTGTCAGATATTAGAAATATTTAGAAAAGTTTGGTATATTCCTCCAAATTATTTATACACTTAAGTTATTACTGTAAGGGAGATATGGCTAGCTGATAAAATGGGTCACAAACCACAAAAAATGACCAGATATTAAACTGCAAACTCTAAAACTTGGATTACAGAAGTTAAAGTGTCTATAATTAAAATTATAGTTGATACAGCCTGTTAATTATTAACATCTTATATACTTTCTTTTTCATGAGTTTTTAAAGTTTTAACGAACTTTCGGCTCACCCTGTATTAGGATAACTCTTTGTACTTCTTAACATCTGAAATTTACAGTCCTTTATACCACTTCCCGTACAACTCTAAAAATAATAATTTATATTGTCGTAGTATAGACGACATTTGTGCGTGACTTTTGCAAGGCAAAAATCAACTAAACATATTCGATTGATGAAAATACTCTTTCTCACGGTGTCTTGTAATTATTCAAATTTTTATTCCCCTGCTGTCTACATTTCTTTAATGTTTACCATTCTTTGAAATAAATTTGGCTACTATATTCGACAGAAAAGGTTCCATGATGTCCTCCCTGGAGCAGCTAAAAGTACATTTTACATTTCTAAAAAAAAAAAAAAAAAAAAAAAAAAAAACCTATTGACTCTAACAGTGTCGCCCTAACTAAAAGGTGGTGGATAATATTTGGGCTACTACCTTAGACGGGAAAGGTTCCGTGATTTTCTCCCTGGAGCAGTTGGAACTACATTTTACATTTCAAAACAGCATAAAAACTATTGCCTATAACAGATCTGAAAGGCGGGGGATAATAATTGGGCTACTATATTCGACAGAAAAGGTTCCGTGATGTCCTCTCTGGAGCAGTTGGAACTACATTTCACATTTCCGGCTAGTAAAAAACCTATTCACTGTAACAGTGGCGCCCGAACTAAAAGGTGGTGATAATAATTGTGCTACTAACTTAGACGAAAATGCTTCCGTGATGTCCTCCCTGGAGGAGTTGGAACTACATTTTACATTTGTGAACAGCAAAAAAAAAAAGCTATTGATTGTAACAGTGACGCCTGAACTAAGAGGTGGTGGATAATAATTGGGCTGCTAGCTTAGACGGCACATTTGTGTCCTTATAACAAATATGCCGATATGTAAGTTCATGTACATGTTGCGAAATTCAACAAAATCTATTTTTGCAGATATGCCCAGAAGTTTATTTTAAGGCGATAAAATCTTTATAGATACCAATTCAAAACGTTTTTTCGAAAAATTTAAAAATTACCGATACAAATTTTTGAAAAAAAATCTGCGAATTTTACTTAGATTGAACGTAAATTTCGAAATGAAAAAAAGAATCAAATTTAAAAAATGTGTACTAAATTCAATTAACATTGAGGAATTAAAATTTAAAAGTACTTGTGCGATTTTTACAAATCTTGGCACTTAGATAATTGGCATAATTAGAGTCGTAAAATCAGCATACTGAAAAAAAAAATCGGTATGCCATTCAAAAGAAAGGTCCGATTTTGTGTCAAAGTTACTGCAAGAACTATGCTATATATAAATCGAATATATATCCCAAGTCGCGCTTTCAGAACATGAAAAATGCGCAAATTAACTTTCCTAATTCGGCGCAGTAGAACGCGAGATACAGAACTCTTCCATTTCTTTGGAAGGGATGCAGAATGTACAACCCTAGATTTACATGATACGTCTATAATCATGAACCAACACTTAAATTGTTCTAAAGAAAAATAAGGCATCTAAATAGTAACAAGAGTTGTTATATCATTTGGATTTTTAAGAGGAATGTTATTGTAATTTAAAGGAAGTAGAAAAATGCTTTTGTTCTCTCATATGGTACAATTTTAATAACGAAGCTCAAGGAACTAAAAGCAATTAAAATTAAAAGAATTACTTATTAGTTTAAAGAATTGCGTAAGATTGATGATCTTCAGAAGATTGCATGAACTCGAGAAATATGTAGACCTGATTCCGATAATTGTTTGAAAAGCGATGGCTATTAACCTCTTCGTCGTCTGTATAGCTCGTTCAAGTGAAACTTCCTCAGAGTGGCCGCAACGCGCTACAAGCGTTCTTCTACATTTTAAAACTTTTAAACGTTTAGAACGCTTTCTAATTGTTTACTTGTTTGAGTTTTTAATTTTCTTTCTTCTAATACCTCCTAGAGGGTAGCACTAATCAGGCATTCTATTTCTAATTGAATTTACCCCGTGTTTTATGAATATTCGCGCCATTTTACATAAGATACAAGAAAGTGAGAGAGGCTTCAACTCTACTCAGCAGAAAAAGAGAAAAAACGAGGTTCTGAATTGGAAAGACAACAAGGATATACGTTTGATGAGTACAGTCCATAATAACTGTATGATTGATGTCGGAACACTGAAAAGAACTGTAAAAAACCAGTAATTGTAAACGATTACAACAACAACAACAAAATAGGAAGAGTAGACCGCCTGGATCACATGTTATCAAATTATTCTGTTGTTAGCAGAGATTATTTTTCCATTATGCTTTATTTCCTTATAATTTTACTTAATATTCATTGACATTCATCCACTACGAAAGTCATGTATGGAAAGCTATGATGTACAGAGAAAACATTATACGCTACGAAAAACAGACGGCCGCTCTGGGGGGGGGATTTTCGCGGACAGTAGAGGACGGCGAAAGGGTTAAAGCAAACTAGTTTATTGAAATCAATCTGCTTTTAGATGGAAAATTTGAGTTGAGTTCCACTCGCAGTTATATTAAGTTCACATCTGAGTGAGTTTTGAAGAAATAAGTTTGATAAGTTCAAATATGGTATAATTAAAGGCTAATAATGAGCAATGAAACAGTCAACATTTATGTGAGTTTTCAAGTAAGTCCAATAATGTATCGTTAATACTTACATTGGCAAGCATCATTTCGAATTCGAGTGTCTTATAAGTTTTCTTTGTTAATGAACCTTTCGCACCTAACAATTGAGCTGCTTGCACCATTAAATTCAAATAAGCGTTTGTGGAATTGTCAGCTATTCCATGCAATAGATGACGACCATCTATTCCTAACAACGGCTTGCCCAACTGAAAAAAGAAATAAAAAAACCATTTAATCTGAGTTTCGTCAGTGGAAAACAGAAAACTAACGCTTTTCAATACCAGTGTTTAATGGCAAATTCTAATGAATATTTTCAATATTTGCAACAATTCTTGTTGCTGTTACTAATCTTCCTTGTCTGATATAATCAGAACAAGCCACCGAACTATTATCGTGGCAAAGGCAATACGACTGCGTTTGTCGTTGGCCAGAGCCTTGAGCACCATACAAATGACTTCGTGCTCAGTTTCGCCACAATTTTGAAAGAGATCACCCCCAAGCCCTGGATCTGAGTGTCTCTCACCACTCTCTCCCCCTCTCCCCCCCCGGTGTTGACTCAGGCGAACGCCTGGGAAGTACTGGTTAGGATCTGTACCTAGGCAGTCTTAACCCCGAAGGTATATAATTTGACTTCACAGGACTAGAGCCCGAGTATTGTACTGAGGTTGGTTCAGGCTTGGCAGGGACCGTACTGGTACTGTCGTGTCTGTTCCTTCGGCTGTGGTGGAGCTATATGGAATATTTGTCGACTGAGTTCCCGGGGGTTTGATCCCATTCAGTTCTCGTGGCGGGGACTGACAAAGTGGACAGAGCACCTATCTACAATGTGGTTATGCCGATGGAGTGGTGCCCGGAGGCAATGTGCCAGAGTTTATTAATAGCAACGTTTTTGTTCTGCTCAATGCTTCGTAAACGGCGGGCGGGGACTTCGGGTGGTTGGGCGCGAGAGAACGAAGTCTCACGGACGTGGGATATCCAAACTCTGAATGGGTCCCGTATAATGAGGACCTGGGATGGAGGTTCTTCGTCTGGTGTGTCTGTCTCTCACCACTCGTTCTCCTTATCAGCAACCTCTCTAGAGGGCTCCCACCTTCCCGCATGTTTTGAATACCCACATGTCACAAAGGTACTATACATTTACAAACATCCATACCTTCTCCGGGATTCGAATTTAGACCTTTCGGTACGGCAGTCAACATAACTAACCACTTTTACAGCTGGGAGTAAGATATCATTTTCACCAATAGTTTCTTTCACAAATGTTCTTTCTGTTTTCTTCTTAAAGGCAGAATATGTTGTAATTTCCTTATCGCAATGCACTGGCATTCTCGTTTTCCATCTGCATTTCGATATCATACCTGCAGGTTAAAGTGGTTTACTATTTGGATTTTCATCTCTTATATTACGTTGGCGAAAAGCAACTGGCAAGTAGACATGGAGCCTGATAGCGGAAAACGGGAGAAAAGCAATTTCATATAGACAGAACGGAATGTTAAGAAGCATAGAGACAGGTATAAACATCTTTTCCGGTCATTTCAATCAGGATTATTCCTTTCGGAAGAACATGATATTCATACTAACTGTAACTTATGAAACCCAACTCTTTGCTTATCATAATTTCATAATTAATTTCTTTTTGTTCTTTGCCTGGTGGCTGCTTACAACAGCATTTAGTTGCGTTCTAAAAGTATTAGAAATCTGCAATGATAATCGATGAGCAACTACTCATTTTTGAGGCAAAATTAAATTTGGAAATAATCAGCAGAATAATATTATATATCCCAAACCGCAAAACTGGCACTGATTGTTCTGCGATAAATCTTGAATTTGTTGTATATTCACTTTATTTACACTGCTCGACATTGAAAATGCAACACCAAGAAGGAGTGGTCAGAAATTTATGCAAATTTTAGAGTACACGCACGTCATTGTGTTATGCGAATGATGTGAAATGAGCAGCTCTTCGACGCACGTGAAGTCAGATATAAGGGAAGGAACGTGCAGAATGGGCAATATTCGTGTCGTTATTTCTGCCAGATGAATTATCGAAGAAAGTTTGTTTTTGTCCCGGAGAACACGTGTAATAGGAGAGAATGCCAGGCCGCGGTCAATGAAGGCACTTCCAACAGATAGACGATTTTACGAGGGCTATACTGATCGGACTGAGAAGGGCGGGCAGGTTTTTACGTCAAATCGCAGCTGATACCCACATGGGTGCGAACACGGTGCATCGGCTATGGCGAACGTGTTCGAACAAGGAAATGTGGGAGGAAGGAGGGGTGCAGCTACAGCCAGAGTGACGTCAGCACGCGTGGATCGACGCATCTGCTGACAAACTGTGGCGGTTCCGCAAGTCACTTGTACTGCGATTTGGCAGCATGTACAAGATACCCTGGACGTTCCCGTGTCGACCAGAACCATTTCCCGTCGATTGGTTTAACGTGGCCTGCACTCACGGCGTCCGTTAAGAAGACTGCCATTGAACCCACAGCATAGACGCCACTGTTTAAAATGGTGTCGGAGTGGATCGATGTGGATGACAGAATGGCGAAACGTTGTGTTGTCAGATGAGTCGTCACACTTCTGTTTATCCAGTGACAGTCGCCGTATAAGTGTGTGGCATCTACGTGGAGACAGATCTAATCCGGCAGTAACTGTGGAACGCCCCACCGCGCGACAACGCGGCATAATGGTTTGGAGCGCTATTGCCTACGATTCCAGATCACCTGTAGTTCGTATTCAGGGCACTATGACGGCCCAACGATACTTGGATAATGTACTGCGGCCGGTGGCAATCCCCTACCTTCAGGGGCTGCCTAATGCAAATTTTCAGCAGAATAACGCCCGAGCACACAGTGCTCGCATCTGCCAACATGCGCTGCAAGGTATACAGAATAACAGTTGCTTCCCTGACCACCGTACTCTCCTGACCTGTCACCAATCGAACATGTGTGGGATGTGATTGGGCGCCGTTTGCAGACTGTGCCCCTGCCTCGTTCAGAAGTGGCAATTGGTTGAAAGGGAATGGAGAGCCATCCCTCAGGACACCATCCGCACACTTATTGACTCTATGCCTAGACGTGTTTCTTCGTGCATCGCTGTCCGCGGTGGTTCTACATTTAACTGACCAGTCGCCGTTCTCGCTCTGTATTCTGACTATCATTTTGAAATAAAGATCACTTATTGCTGCTTGCTGTCTCTCTTTTTTGCCAAATTTCATCACTTTCTGACCACTCATTCTTGGTGTTACATTTTCAATATCGAGCAGAGTATAAAGCGTTTATTACTAACTCTGAAACGTATGTTTCATTCAGAATCAGTTTGTTTATAGATGTAACGGATTACTATAATGTACTTAAATCCTCTGGAGTAATTGTAACTGTTTCATCAGCTTTCATTAGAGTGTTATCGCTTCTCCTTCTCTCAAAATTGCAATCCATTTTTTTATATCTGCTCCTTGAACGTATGCGGGAGATAAAATTTCCGTTTCGTTCAATCGTTCTTTGGCTAATGACGATTTTAAAAATATTAAGATCCTTCTCTGAAAACTCACTGTACTGTGTTACAATCTTTTGTAAGTACACAATCAATTTTAGATCGCCGTGTTTAATTTTGAAACGTTCTGTAGCATTCGTGGCTTAAGTATTTGTTATACAAATCATGTACTGTATTGAGAAAAATTTAACAACATTTTATGAGTAAACTGAATGACTGAGCGACCATCTAACTCATCTTCATATGGATTCTTATTAAGATGGCGAAGACCTAAGGCAGACAGCCGTCGTGTGCTTGGCCTAAATTAAATAGTCAAATGTAGTTAAAATGTTAAGAATGTGCTGAAAGTTTCAGCCAGTCGTATGATTCTTTGGATCTTGGGAACTGCAATCTTGAATAATTTCATTTGCTACTACAGAAACGCCCACTGGATTCACAGTTTTATAATTTTATGGAGCTATAGTTCTATATAATTATAGTTTTATAATATTATATAACTCCGCTAGGTGTCTTCTTACTGGTATAGTTAGGATTTTAATCGGATTCTTTTGACATGTTGAACTGAATAGTCACTTTAGATTCAAACTTATTCAAATCTGATAACCTTTTTTCTACTTCAACACACAATATGTAGGACATAATTCTATCAGCTTGCTCTTGTAACTATAGCAATATGGTTATAAAATAATATATAAATATATATAAAGTAACAATGGGAGACGGCGTCTACATCTCATACTTTAGAAAATTGCATGTGATTTCACGTGAAAACAAATTGTATTGTGCAGTTGTTCTTCATGATAACCATGCATAGATATTTTAAGTGTATTCTCTCAATATATTAGTGTTCTTGTTGTTGTTGTCTTGTCTATGTATTTCATGGAAGAATGCTTGCCAGAGCCTCAAGGAGGTTGGACTTCTACCCCAATGTTGAGGGAGAGCACTCCAGGGTTTGGTACGAGGACACCCCTCTCCCCTACCACCAAACAACACGAGAGGACTCTTGTACCATTTGGGGTATGAGAGTACCCCCATGTCGCACAGACACTATACATTTACAAACATCCATGTCTTCTACGAGATTCGAATCCGTGCCCTTTGGTACCGCAGCAGGCTCTCCTAACCACTATAATGTCTGAGCGGAATTATATTACTGTAAATTGTATTACTGTAAATTTTATTGGATAGGAGATCTTAAGATCTGAATTTGTCTTAGATTTTACATAATTATTCAAAATAGTAGCTTTACAGAAGCTTGATGATTGATTTCTGAGGATAGCACTTTTAAGAATTGTACAGGAATTTTCCCTCAAATCTTTCGAAACTTGCTGCTGAAGTAAGAGAAAAAATTTACGTGTTATGTAGACAACTCGAATAATGATGTAATAACTCCTATTGATGAAAGCTAAACCAAGGAAATTAAAAGTTTAATTTTAAATTATGGCTAGAAGAATTGTAGAGTTATTAGGTGATTCTGATACTGGAGACGTGAAACATACGCAACGCTCTTGCCGGACCTCGAACCTGGACCTCTCGAATACGCGCCGAGTGTGCTACCGTTACACCACGAAGGCATGAAGAAATATTTTTAAATCTTTTAATGTAAAGAATTGTAATTTATTTTAAACTAAGCGTAAGTTATTAATCAGTTACAGGTGCTGGTAAACACAGAAATCTATTTTCGAATTTTCCGCTCTATTTATTTTAAGTAATGACAATTTTTTTTAATTTTGTTTAATTTTGTTTTAAAAGATAAAGGGAGGCATCTTGGAAGTGTTTTTCTGTGCGCCTTACTTACAAAGAACTTAAGGATTACATGCTATTCAAAATGAATATATGAATGCCAAAATGCCAAATGCTAAAAGTTCTGATTTATTCATAAAGAAAATTCTAATTTAATAAAATATATACTATATCTTACAGAAAAATTATTTAATAATTTCAAGTAGTAAATAAATAAAATAAACTTAGCTGCAATTTTTTTTTTTTTTTTTTTTTTTTTTTTTTTTTTTTTTTTTTTTTTTGTTACAGAGCAAATATGTTCAAAAGAATTTTAAATATTTCGCCAAATTTATCTTCGATCTAATCCTGATTAATGGTTTACTCCTAATTTTAATGTGTCTAGTACTTCAAAAAATGCTTAAAATTTGATTAATGAGGGTCACTGTTAGTTTTGCTTATACGGTATAATAACTGGTTTCCAGTGTCTGAAATCTAACATCAAACTGTCATTGTCTAGTTTCGGTTATCATTTTGTACTCACCTTTATAACATGAGCACCATTATTCCAAGGATCCACCGTCACAGAAAGCTCCATGAGTATGTCATGACTGAAGCCCAGGTCTCGGATCTTTATGAGAGTATCAAGCCAGTCAAAGGTAGTCGATTCCCACTTTCTTCCAGCCACCATAGGCCAACCTCCAAGATACCGAAGAACGTCCTTTATAGGCTTAGTACCCTCTGCCTTGATCCTTACTGCCGGTAGGAAAGATGTTAGGATATTTAGATAGATAAATAGTCACAGTGTTATTCCACACGTGATTCCTGCTTCAATATTTTATAAAATTTCATCTCAAATCTGACATGCTCTTTACATGATGCTAAGATTTGTGCTTCTGATACTTTAACGTATTGTTTGTTTTAGCTTCGGTTTCATATATTGACTCGGTCATTTTGTGGTTTGTTGCGTAGCGAATTTTAATTCTAGTAATATTTGTTTCAAATGTAATTTTTTTCAAGTATTTTTTATTTGTACTCATGTATATTTTAATCTGGTAAAAAGAGTATTCTTAAATTGTTAAAGCCTTATTTAGCTGGTAGTTCTTGAAACTGTAGTGTAACAAAGACAGGAGACGGTTGCGAGGAGACACCTGGTTTATGGCCTTTTACTAACAGTGGAAGCAGTTAGGGTGTTGCGTTGTAGCTTTTCTTCGCTGGTGGCCTTTTACTAATGGCGCTGAAACGAGAATCGGCTTTCTCATTCTCACTTGCTTTCGCTTTGTTATATTTGCAATGTGTACTTCAAGACAGTGGGGGTTGTTGTAAGCTTAGGTAATTGGATTTCTCCCATCGCTTACTTTCCGTTTGTTAGCTGAGGGTCCACCTTTCTTCCCACGTTATGAGTACAGATGGTCAGGACTTCCAATGTCAGATTGCCTTGTTTTTGATTCGTTGTGGAGGCGAAATTTCTCAGTTATAGATAAAATAAAATTGTCGGATTGGTGAGATTTAATTTTATGATTTTTTTATAAGCCTATGAAATTTCCGAGGGCGGAAAGACCGAGTTTACTTCAGTGCTTGCACAATGTACGAAGGCATTCTTATTCTGATTTTTTTAGCAAAATCAGAAAAAGGAAAAGGAGAAAAGAGTGTGGGGGCTTGATCCCTTGCGGGTCTTGCTCTCGCGTGTCGGAGCTGAGTCTGAGATTAGAAGTGCATCTTGACTAGACTAGATGTAAAGAAAAGAAAAGGGAAGAGTGGGGGAGCTTGTCCTCTTGCGGGGGCTTGCTTCCGCGGGTTGGTGCGACGTTTCTCTCCGTCTGCTGATGATGAGAATTTTAGATCAAAAGGAGAAAATCCTTTACATTATTATGCGGCAAAATTCCACTGGTGTCGTCTTTCGTCGAGTTCCAACTAGTAATCCGGCTAAAGAAGTGTGATGCGGAAAATTCCACTGGTAACGTCTTTCGTCGAGTTCCAGCTAGTAATCGGGCTAAAGCAGTGTGATGCGGGAAATTCTACTTGACTCAGCAATAAGAGACTTATTCCAGAAGTTATCGTAAATTCTGGTCCGAGTGACGAAGGGTTTTCCTGACTGCTAACTGTGAGTTCCTTACTTTTTTTTTATATTATTCGCAGGAATCATAGATTATTTGGCCGGGAAGAAAGTTAACTAATGGTGCATTTTAGTGGAAAGGGAAAATTAATAATGAGAAAATTTTGAACCTTAAGGAGAATTTGAAAATGTTAATTAATGTAAGCTATAATTCGGTGTGATATTCTGTATTATTTTGCATAGCATTATTATGGTTTGCATAGTATTATTATGATCAGTTTACCCAGTTAGCTTATGTTATATTATTCTAGAAATTAATAAATGTGTTTGTTTAAAATTTAATTGCATTAGTGTTGTTGTCTTTTGTGTATATTTTTTGGATGGTCTATCAAGTCACTCCATTTGTTTGAGCAGGGAGGCTTTTTAACTCTTTCGCATCGAAGTCGCCCCAAACGACCGAGCATTCAGTCCTCAAAATTATCGTGCATCACGATCCTATGGAATCAGAAATGGATCTCGTGACAGGATTCGCCTGCAATGCTGTATCAAAGAAACTACCGGTATGTTCGACCGTGTCCGGCAATCAATGTTGCTTTGGTGTCAGACATGCCGGGAGTCTGATAATGCAAACTTCAACTATCTGTTGTAACATTGGATCTGTATCCATCTCCTACGCAATTTGTACTCACGATACCGCTTTCAAAGAACTAATACTTCAAATTAATCACTTTCTTGAGTGCTTTCCGATCTTCTAACTGTGCTACCACTTACGCCAGACATTTTCGACCGTGAGTGCCCTACCGCCACTAAACGATTGTCGCTCCATTTTTAAAACACCCTGTACATGTGATAATTTTCAGATGGTGCGCTGATAGAACCAGTTACGTCGCAATCGTGGTAGGAACCGTAATAGCAGATAGTATATGAACTGTTATGTAGATGAGTGCATGGAATTTTGGAAGAACCACTTTTATTTGCTTAATCACAACACATCTTTATTATTTAACGAGTATTCTCTTAAGATATATTTTCTTGAGTGTCACCGAACAACGTGTACAATCTGCATTTCACAGTTTTATATAATACTTATTTACAGTTTAGAATAATCGATGAGAATTGAAACGGTGCTAGCTAGGGAACAGCAGGTGAGGAATGTGGTGCGTATTAAGAAGCAGAATCAATAAATAACGTCGTAATGCTGTGTTTGAATCCTAAACTGTGACTGGGCAAGCGTTTACAGCAATGCGGATCACTGCAGGGAAAGAATAACATCAGTGCTGTCTGTGAAGGAGGTTGTGTTTAAATTATATATATATACAGTGCACGTATAACTGTTTGTTTGCTATGTATTGCATTATTGATAATTTATAACATGCTACTGAAGTATAAAGAAATAAAATCTTTTGATTATTTCATGTTTTCTTATAGCATTAATAAAAGAAAGGAGAAATTCAAAATGATATTTACTCTCGTTCATACAGGAAAAATACATGTCTCTTATCATGCGAATAAAGACAGGTTCCTCTTTCGTCAGTTCATTTTCCAAGAGATCTGAAAGAAATATTTAATTTTTATGCAAATAAAATATTATTTATTATCATATTGTGTAATGAATTTAGAATTGATCATCTGTTTCACCATTCTGTATAACGTTTAGAACTAATAAACCTTTACAAAACCTATGGCAAATGTTCAATGCGATAAAGAAGGAGAATTGTTTTAAAGAAAATGTAAGAAAATGTAACTGAGAAAGAATGGAGCAAACGTCCTGTCTGGGAAAAACTTCTCTATTTGTGCTTATGACTACTGAAAACCAAGACACTTCCAAGAGACTTTCGGAATTTGTTTTTAAGTTAATAATTAAGGGAAGAAATATGTAAAAATGTTAAGCTTTGGGGTGGATCACGCCATATAAAGGCTTAAATTTGCAGTAAATTGCAAACAACTCCAGGAATACGAAACTGAATTTTTTTTCAAGGAAATAAACAACAACAAAAAAATAAACTTCTTATTGAAGGGTTAAACGGTAGCAAATAAGAGTTTTTCCAGAAAATGAGGTTGAATAATATCATAAATTTCTAAATGAATATATATTCATGAGCTTCAAGTTGGTCTTTAGGAATTTATATGATTAGTTACCCTAATTTTTCTGTTATATATTAAAAATGGTAGAGGTTTTAAAGTACTGAAACAAAATTTATTCTTTTTTTAAAATCATATTCTAATGTTGTAGACTCATTAGGTTATTCTGAAGCACGAGATGTGAAAAATGTGCAATGCCCTCGCCGGTACTCGAACTTAGACCCCTCGAAATACGCGTCGCGCATGCTTCCAATTACACCACGAAGGCACGTGGAAAGGCGAATAAAATACCTTTACTAAAGTGCATTTCTAATTCATAACTGAATTAGTATGCATCCCGACAAATTCTGAAATCTCTTGTTGACATAATCATTAAATATATCTACTAGATACATTTCAGTTTTGGCTTTGTTTGGTTTATTTGATTAGCGCAAAGCACATTAGGGCTCTCCACCTAAGGGAAGGGATACCTTCTTGGAGAACTTCCTAAAGAAAACTGGTTCGTATCTACGGTACAGATGGGAAAAATCACTAAAACTCTCAGGAAAACAGCCCGTTCGCCGCTGTACGAACCTGTGTCAAATTACCAATGTTTAATGAAATTACCTGTTTGCCACTGGTCGGGGATACGTTTTAGAAAATAGGCGGACATTTCACGTATTTATACATCAGGTAAAGGATGTGATTTCTTTTGTTTCAATGACAAAGCTCACGAGAGCTATCTGCGTAAAGGGAGGAATGGCTTCATGGAAAACGTTTTAAAGGAAACTAACTAGTATCGACATTTCACCAGGAAAAGCCCGAAAAAGCTCATGCCTACCACGAAAGCTCATGCACGAAAAGGCTCAATTCATTCACCTGGACTTGAAGAATCCAGGTCAAACTACCAGTACTTTCAAACTGTGGTGCGTATCAGTTAAAAGAACTTAGAAAGTAATGACAAGTAAATGCATACAGAATGACTGATTAAAGATCCCAAGTTCCAGTTTAGAAAGTCCGTCAAAAACTGCAGGACTCTGCAATGAGACTATTTTAATCCTGATTACTATATATTTACTTATTTATTACATAACATGATTATTGCATAACTAATTGTACATTGCTTTAATAAATTAAATTTGTATACGCCCGTCAAAGGGAAATCTTCGTTTCCTAGCTAAGAGTAGGTTCATACCATTCATAATAATGTCATTCCTCTAATGTTAATGAAAGTTATCGACCCTCATCTGGAAACAAATTATATTTTAAAATTTAAAAAAAGTTTATTTACTTTTGAGTTTCAGATCGATATCATGTTGAATGTTGGATAAAACAGAGGTACATGACTTGTCTTTGCCATGCTCCTTTATCCAGCCGCCACAGGCGAACTCGTAGAAATCATCGCAAGGATCTACACTTTCATTCAAATTAGATAAGATTTCGACAGCTAGAAGATAAAAGAAAAAGTTAGATAAATAACAATAATTAGATTGCAGTTTTCGTTAATATTGTTACGAATTTTGTACACATGTAAGCAATTTTAGTGAAATTATATTTGTGAAACTGTAATATTTTTTGCGTAATGTAACATGAAATTCTTGAAAGAGAACATGCTCTGCCGTAAAAACTAAAATACAGGACAACATTGAGTAAAAAGGCTATCTAGCTAAATTGGCAAGATATCGCCAAGCTGTGTAACAGCTTTAAATAATATTAAAATCTTGTAGTTTAAATAATTTAAATAGATGAACATTAAGGTATTTGTGAATGGCAATATTTGAAACCAGACTCGAGTGCCTCGTGCGACTCTCGCACGAAGAATGTAATTTATTTTTAAATGTGACAATATGTTTTCTCTCTCTCTTTTTTTTTTTTTTTTTTTTTTTTTTTTTTGTATGTCGCATTTTGAGTGTTAAATAAAAGTTATTGCTGTGTTCCATCATTGGAGTTGCTTCATTTCGCCAAAGAAGTATTACAGCTGGCAATGGTTTTGTGACTCATTTCTGTCGCCAAATTTGGTGAGATATTGCCAAAAGTCGGCAAACTTGACGACCATTCGTGACGTTTTGTTCGATCTCTGTATAACTATAAAGGGTAACTGAATGTACCTGAATAACTGTAATTGATTCTATATGTAACTATAATCGTATCCGGACCCATATGCGTTCGAGTAATTACCAAAAGGGAAGGTTCTAGAAATTTCTCAGCGACCGCGGGGAAACTGTGTAAGACAGAGAAGAGCATCAGTTTCTCAGTAGTAGCTGTTTAGTTCCGCATTCAAGACAGTATAGAGATATCTCTGTACGAGCTACCTTCGGCTTTCAGATGCGCTCTTGCGTTTACCATTCTTCGTAGTTTGAAGTGTAACTGCTCATTGTACTCTGTGATAAGCTGCACGAGTATTTTTTCGTGTAATTTCCAGAAATGTCAATTTTTTTCTTTTGGTGAAATAAATTTTAGCAAGCTGTCATCGGTTCTGTTTGCATTCAGTATTACGCACCCGTACGCAGGTAACAATATTTAGTATTCTGGCGTAAACTGAGTTCTTTGACTTCAACCCTAATAGAAAATGAAATATATACCTTTGACGACACTTAAAAGTTGCGTAAACTGCAAACTTTAGCCTATAATGAGACTTTCATATCAGAATAACTATTAATATAGAAATTATTGGTTTTATGAATTTAATATAAAACTCCAGATTACCTCTCTGGATTGTACAACAAATCCAATGCTCTGGATTATGCAACATCAAAAATCTATTTTTATTAAACACATTAATTAGATCACATTCTAAAGTCATTAGGATTTTTTTTTTTTTTGGAAGCAGAAGAGATGAAAAATGAGCAACATCTTCGGGAATCGAACCACGGACCTCTGGAATACGCGACCACAGTGCAGACCACCACACAACGAAGGCATGCCAGGATGGCGGGAGAAACACTTTATAACATCAGAATTAAATACTGTGGGAAAGTAAATGCGTGCAATTTAATAGGAAACAAATAAAGTAGTTCAACTTAGAAATTAAAAACATGCGAGTCCGAATTTATTCCTGTTTGCAGTCTCGTGAAAACTCATTCCAGTTTTATCAAAATGTTGATGTTATGTCAACGCAGTAGAAGTTATGATGCTTGGCACAAGGTATGGTGTTCTGAACGCAAAAATTTAAGAAGCTTTTCAGAAACCCAACTTGGGAAGAATTTAGCGCTAGGGATAGGTTTTTCTAAAACTCGAAGTCCTCTCAAGAGGTTGTTAGGGGAGTAGAGGTGCGGGATCTTGGACTAGTCTCCCCGGGCACTTCTCTTCAAAATTGGGAAGGAAGTGAGCAAAATCGTAATTGTATGGGCAACAAGTCTCTTGCCAACGATAGGCGCAGTCTTGACACCTTGCCACGAAGAAATTCGTGGGCAAGGAGCGCAAATGTACATCGGTTGTTGGCAACAGCCTTCAGCACCTTACAGGTGACAGTGCGATTTAGCCCAGTTCCGCCCCAAATTTTGATGAAGAGCACACTGAGGGGGACAGGATCGAGGGGGCCCCCCTCTTTTCTTTCCACTCTCGAGAAAACTTTCGTCTCACCGTATATTTAGAGTGTCCCCATGTCGCAAAGACACTATTACATTTACGAACATCCATGCTTTCTCCGGGATTTAAACCTGGGTCCTTCGGCACGGAAGTCAGCGACGCAAACCACTAAGCAGTTTGGGCTGCAGAGATAATGTCAAATGAAGCAATATATCAAGCTTCGAATTTTTCTGCTTAAGTCTTTTTGCTTCCAGAAATCTGGAAGGATCTGAGCTGCTGCTGCTGAAATATTGTTTTTGGAAGAGTTTCCAGCTCTTTGTGATGTAAATTTAAAATTAATTGCTTTCACTTAAAATGTCACGTTATTGTAAGTAGTTGGTTGTGAAGTCTTACCTGTTTAGAATTAAAGTTCGCAATGATTGTTTAGCACCTACTTTTCGTATACTTAAATTATTTCGGGGGAAAAGGTAAAGCACCATTTAAGTTTCTAACCAGTTATTTTACGTTAAACTGCTATCTTGTCAGCCTAATTTCTATTTCCCTGTCAGAATGTAAACTTCCAGTGCCCGCCATTTGGTGATTTATCGCCAAATTTGCCGACAGAATACGTCGCCAAAACCGTTGTCAGCTTGGCCAAATTACCGAGATACCCATTTACTCAATGTTAAATGGACTTACCCCGGTATTGTTACTTTACTGACATAGCTTGTCTCTTTTAGATTTTCATGTTGCATTATACAAAAGAAATACAGCAATATCGTAAAAAATTACACTAAAATCATCTATGAATTCGGAAAGCTTGTAACAGTATTTATAAATGCTTCCGTTTATTTTTCTGTTTCTGTATATTACTTATCATCGTTTAAATGTGCTAGTTGGCTATATTCTGCTTTATATTAAAACATTTGAAAGGAAGCACCGGACAGACCACATAGTCATGTAGATAACGGAAATCAAGAGCTAAAATGCATAATAAGCGATGCCGTACTTTGCTGAGCAAAATGAAAAGGTATTTAATACGTACTCTAAGGAAATGGTAGAGGAGAAAATTTATGTCACCTGCTTTGGCGCATCCGAGTGTCAAGCAAAAATCGTATTCTGAAGACGTATTCAGAAAAGATGCCAATTTCTCTAGGTCCACTGAGATTTCAGTAGTTTGTTCTGATGCTAGAAAACAAAAGCCTTCTCATTTTTTGAATACATGACAAAATGATGTATAGTCGAATTGGTGGCAATAACCTGTATGTATATATATATATATATATATTGTAATATATGAATATATGTTTTAAATATATATATATATTTAGTCTTACTATTTCTTAAGTTTCAAAAGTTCGAATTCATATTCAAATTGGATTAAGTTTATTTCCGTTTTCCCTTAGCTATACGATTTTGCTTTTTTCTATTATTGAAAAGAAATGTTCTTTTATTATTTCAGTTCTATGTCCCCTTTTTCTTTTACTACTCATCTTATCTCGATTTTCAAAGTTTTTTCTACTTCCGACAAAATTACTTGTAGGTTTCGGAAGCAGAAAATTTTCTTTTCACGTTTGCTGTGCTTTAAGGTTGTAATGTTGCAACGTGTAATTTACATCTAAATGTGTGGAACCTTGAGAACTGGTAAGCGAATAATCCCTTTAGTTCAGTAGACAGAGAACAGAACAAAAAAAAAAAAAAAAAAAAAAAAAGCTTTATTTTTTTAAAATAAGAATTTAAGAGTTGACTCCTTCTCGGAGTTTACATCAAAGCCTCCACTTGGGCTTGAACTCAGGAATACTAAGAAATACAACTTAACTAAAACATATAACCGAAGCTATCAAGATTCTACAAGAGTTGACCCCTTAATACTAACTAAACGGTGAAGCTATCAAGGGCCTAAATTACGGCCGAGCGTAAGAATAGCTTTAGAGAGAGCATAGCCGAAAGACGAACGCGCGCTGGTCAGAATCCCTGGCTCTCTAACGAGTCAGTAGAACTTCAACTTTAAATACTTGCTCTTCTTTCATTTGTATTCTGAAACACGTTCTTAACCGCGATTCTGAAACACAGTCTGACAGGAAATTGTAAGCTGAAATTAGGAGAGATAGGATAGTGGCTTTAACTAAAAATTAACTGTTAAAAATTTAGGATAAACCTTGCAAGGTAAAAACAGAAATGTTGCTTTTACCACTTTTACTGCTTCTGTGATATTAAAAAAAATTATTTCCAATTTATATAACTGCAAAGTTATTATTTCTGTTCATTTTCTAATTTTTTTTTCTTCAATGCTATATTTCTTTTACTTGATTAATTGATTTAAATTTTAATGCGAGTTTCCCAGAGTTCTTTTTTTTTTATCTTTTTAAATATTTTTTTAATTGTTTGCAAATTTTATGCATTACATTGAAATTAGTGTTTTCTACACATCTGTACGTTTATCATTATGAGACATTGGATTTTTATTGCAGCTTCATACATCTAAAAATTATTATATTAAAAATTTTCAATACATTTCGATTATTATTATTGTTATTAGTTTTCTCCACTTTTAATTTTGCAGTTCTTTTTCATTTACGGCCAGATGGGGTAGCGCTGGTGTTTGCACGGTTTTTTTTATTTCTTTTATATATAAAACTGAATTGTACGTCATACCGATTTAGAAACAGGCTTTCTTTATCCATTTCTTGGTTACTCACCCCCTGAAGAATATATGCTGGGAAATCTAAATCCTTTTCTTGTTTCGGATTATTTTTGCAGTTATTTAATACAATAGTTTTTACCATTTTGCATTTCTTTCGTTTTTACCAAATTGAATGGGATTGTTAAATTAATTTAAGTTTTCACACATATCAATTGATTAATTAATATGTATAACAAAATTATAACAGTATAATAGCCTAAATTATAACATATATTTATTTACTTTACATGCTTTAATATAAATATATATATATATAATTTATTTCCTAAACAGTATTGATAATTTTTATATTATCTCCTAAGTTTAAGTTTGGACAGTCCTGTTTAGGAAGTAAATTATATATATATATATATATATATATGTAATAATAAAAGCAAAGGAAAGGAAAAACCGGAGCAGTGTCGATGCGTGATTAGACCCCTACTGAAGAAGAATTTTGATTGCGTAGTATTTAAAGAACTTGGCAGTCGAGGCAGTTTTAATTCAATTTTTATTTCCAATGATATTTTTGGCCACAATCCTTGGCACTCTAGTCGGCCTTTCCACAGAAGATTTACATTTTGATATTGTTGGAAAGAAAGAAGCAAGCCAGCGAAATTACATCTTAGCACAGCAGAGAGGAAAAGCTGAAGTGCGTAGTTTATGCAAGATGGAGGCACGTGAGGAGAAAAGTTTTGGTTTACAAGGACAGTTTCAGTTCTTAATTATTACGTCATCAGAGTTGCGCCGATCATAGAGTGATCTAGAAATGACGCAATGCAAAGAAGTTATTACGATTTTAGAATAGAGAGGAAGAATTAATGTTTATAGTTTAATCTATAATTTTGATTCATATATTTTTATCTTACATATTTATATATATGGTCGAGAAATTCCCTGCGTAGTTGGCTGGAGATAGAGGTGTAGTGGATGACCGGATGGAATTTTGAAAGAAGCACAGCCAGCTTGTTGGTAAAGATAATTTATTCCTGGATGACCAATTACTTCGAAATTTGCCTTTTTTATTTGTAGAACAGTAGATAGCTACTAAACGCACTCTACAATTTTAGATGTGCAATTACATCTTAAATAGCGATGTAATTACACATCTAAAATTGTGGAACGCGTTTGGTAACCCTACTGTTCTAGCAAGCATATATATATGCAACTGTACACACACACGCACACAATGTGATTATAATTAAAGTTCCACTGTCGAAAGTCTTTTTTTACAAAAAGTATCATCGAAATTTAGATTTCACGTTTATTGTGAAGGAAAATGTATAATTAACTGTAATAAAACAGCTAATTAAATTTGATTTCAAAACAGAATTTAAGAGTATGCAATATTCTTTTATACAAAGCCGTCTATTCTGGCCTTGAAAGATTCATTGGGTCCAAAATCAGAAGCTTATCGGGGGAAATATTTGTAAAAAACTGGATCTGGTTTGGTAGCAAAGGTGGGTGGGGAAATAATGTTTCAAATTCTCTTTACTTCGGGCCAGCGTGTGCCAATCAGTGTAAAAGGAGACATATCAGGATTTATGATAGCGCATTGTTCTGTAGCAATGGATAACTTCTTACATCGGAGTTGCCAGTGGATGTTCTCTGTAAACTCATAATCACATGCATAAACATTACTAAAATCCTCATTCAGACACAGCCAAAGTCTTGACATTGTCTCTTTAGTAATCACAGGTCACAAATACCCACCTTCCGAAGTAACTTTATAAATTCCGCTTCAAATTTTAATATTCCAAAGAGACTTTTGGCTGGGCCTAGAGACAACAGAATGCTCCACCAATTGAGTACAAATATTGATAGTCATATAGCACGCAGTACAGCAGCTCAACTGGTGGTAAGTAGGTAAATAAGTACTAAGTAAGCAAGTTAGCGTCAAAGATGGATTGTTGCTTCCCTCTATCGACAAATCCGAAATCCATATAGCGATCAAAAAAGAAAGTCATTTACTATATTATTATATATTATTATCAGTATATATTTTATAGGTAATGTGTTTTTATCTAACAGAAATGTAGCAGGTTTATTTAGAAAATATTAAATGAAAACTTTTTGAATTTTACCTTCAGTGATACATCTGGAAGTCAGACAAAGCTCCGAGATAGAGGAAACATTGTTGGGCATTATCAAGGATTCGGAAATGGACGGCGCACAAACATCTGGTCTAGTAGCTGGAAAAATATTTCTCCAATTTAGAATATTTCACCAATTTAGAATTAGACTCTAAAGGATTCACTTGCACACGTGCATTCAGTGTGTTAGTGTGAGAGTTAATAACTATTATATACAGAGTGCTCAATTTAATACAGTTTACACATTAAGAGTACATAACATTTTCCCCTGTGCTTCTATAATTTCTGTATTATTCCTTTAAATAGTTATAAATCATTAATATTAAAATAATTATAACTCCTTAATCACTGAATTTGAATTAATTATAGCATAATAATAATAAACTATTAGACATTTAAATCGAAGTAATTATAAATCATTGATATTAAAATAATCATCTATATCTGATATAATAAAGTTATTACAAACTAGCTACAAAACACTGACAAACTACCTTGTTGTGGAAAACAGGAATTATTCGGAAACAAACAGGAATTGATGAGTCTTTCGCAAGAAACAGGTGTTAAATATTGAACTACTGGGCATCGCTTCTCTGACTGATGTTTTATAAAGCGTTCATTCGTGAAGATATTGTTTGCTTAAATGCGATATGCTTATATAGCCAAGGTATCTTGTATAGATAAGCTATGCTCATCTCATCCCTAAGGCAGTCAGATTAAAAACTTTCAGCTAAGTTCCAGCCGGGAAATCGGAGTAAGTTAGGAAAGAGGGCCCAGGTCGGCCATAGTGGACAAAGTCCTATCAGCAGAAGAGCACTAACCCACCCCGAGCAGGCAAGTGAGCTGTACTGTGATGTGAAGATATTTTTTGCTTTATTTCAGGTATTTTTTACAGAAAAATTACAGTTCCATTGGAGTGAATATGTCTAGGACGAAATTATCGTGTGTGAAGATCAGAAACTAACATCTACTTACCAAGTCTCCTCTATAACTTGCCAAAAATTATTTTGTAATGTGCCAAGATGAGGTAATGAAAATTATGATCCACACTTATTGAAATAGCCATGAACGCTGATACCTACCGAGATTTGTGCAATAATTAAATGCTTTATTGCAGAAAAATAGACATTTCTATTGTATATGGCAATAGTGCGATGTATCACACCAGCATGATGCTGATGACATTTCTTCGAAAGAGAATCATATGTAAAGATGATGCTTCTTCCTGACTAGATTACGTTTTGTAAGAACGTTTAAAAACAGAGTGCATTCACATACAATAGAGACACTTTCAAAGAGCTGCAAAGGAGCATCACCGCTGCTATTCCGAGCATAGATAAGGTAGAGGTTCAGAGATAGACACTTCATAGTGTTCCCTAGACAGGCTGTGAAATATGTAGATAAATGCACGGAGTTGGAAAATTTAATGTTGAAGTAAAATACATCTGATTAATATGTAAAATACGTGTTGTAAGTAAAATACATCTGATAAATATGTAAATTTACAGTTTCTAAAGAACCTACTTCTAAAGTGAACCCCTGCATAATAAGTGGAATTAAGAAAGGAAATCAGACAATAATAATAAACATTTTAAAATATTTCTAGAAGATTAAAATAGTGAAGCGTAGTTATTAGGCTCACAACTAATACAAAATATGAAATAATTTTAACAAATTTGACCAAAACAACTCTTTCCTTTATACTGAACAATTGCGCAAAGCATATTAGAGGGGAGACAAATTAAAAGAAAACCATCGCATAAAAATGCATTGGGGAAAAATACAAAACGTACTAAAGTTTGTTTAAAATTATTTAAAACATTGCAAAATGTAAAAAACAAAGATATTCAGAATAAAGCATAATTTGGCTAACTTCCAGAATTTTTGACATTCTTAAAAATCTGAAAAATTGCTAAGCTGATCTGTGTCATAATTTAGCTTAAACTATAAATTAGTACTTATTATTCATAATATATATACTATACTGCATACTTATAATTAAACAATCGGTAAAAAGAAAATGATAATGTAGAGAAATTACATCTTTAATACTAAAATATAATAGCTGATATCATATGTTTAAATAAACGTTTTTAAAAATCATTTATTTTTCAACATGCTCAGCGCTATTATTTTAGAAGGGGGAAGTAAGCTGCATATGAGAGGGAAATGAATAAGTTAACAAACCAAAGATGAAACGCTAAAACCAACAAAAAAAAAAAAGAAAAAAAAAAAAAAAAACGATTTATTAAAGACACATATAACACATTAAAAGCACTTGTAAGGATTGCGAGGGCAGTTTTCTTACGAATAGCAAGGTAACGCATTAAATTTAATCGATTATTAATGGAGGCCGAGTGTTTAAAGCCGCTAAAATACTGTGAATAATCAATCCCAGGTGATCCCAGATCTTCACACGGGTTGGATCCCACGTGAAGAGGCTGACTGCATTATTAATTTCCACGGTTTGTCGAACATGGAACGTAAATGTCAGTTTCAGTTTCCCAACAGAACGTTCTTCACGAAAGCGTACCTACCTTTATATAAATAGCCCTTTTGAGGTTTACAGTTTTAAAGCAACCTAACTTTGTTTATAGTTTAAAAATTGTCATCATCCTAATATCAAAATTTAATAAGTAACTGTCAAATATCTAGTAGTCTACCAGTTTGCTATTGCACTCGCTCGTGGTAACTCTTTCATTATTTTAGCTTTATTATTAAGCATATAGTTACAGAAAACTTTTTCTTTGCTCTTATACCACATACAGTTCAACAACAAAATCATAAAAAGTTTAAGAGCAGTATACCAGCTTATGTTTAGAATTCCCGATGCAGTGTGAGGCGCTGTCGAACAATTTTTTACTGTTCGCAGTTCCTGATATCTGTATTCAGTTTTCTTAGTAAGAAGCCTAACCAAAATTTTGTTGTTTTCTTATTATCAACTTATTAAGCATTAACGTTATTTATTAAATGTCACGTTCTTCGCACTTATGCAACATTGAATTCAATTGAACACAAATTGTTAGAATTTCTCAATTCCACGCAAGTCTTTAGAATTCTGTCCTGTCGCGCTGCAGCTAAAAATGCTTTATTCTGTATAATGTTACCACTCTTCGTTGTCAAATAGTTGACACAGTTAGTCAAAAATTCCTTAAATGTTTACAAAAATAAAAAATAGCCAAAATTATAAGAAAATGAAAAGAAAAGTATGAAAAGGTTCAGATTTTAAAGGTTACACAAAAAGTTTTGTTAAAGCTTTTTTTTTTTTTTTTTTTTTTTGCGCGCTAGCTGAACCCTCAGTCGACCAGCCTGCTGTAAAAATCCTTCCTATTAATCCATTTCTTTTTGTCATTTTAGCTTTATTATTAAGCATGATTTTCTTCGTATTTACG